GACAGTAGTGAGATGTGCTGTAGGTCAGACAGAGGAGTTCAAGGTAGAGGTGGGGCTACATCAAGGATTGACTTTGAGTCCCTTCTTGTTTGCTGTGTGATGGACAGGTTGACTGGATGGGTCAGACAGGAATCTCCGTGGACAATGATGTTTGCGGATGACATTGTGATCTGTAGTGAGAGCAGATGGAGGAACACCTGGAAAGGTGGAGGTCTGCTCTGGAAAGAAGAGGAATGAAAGTCAGTCGTGGTAAGACGGAATACATGTGTATGAACGAGAGGGAGGGAATTGGAAAAGTGAGGTTACAGGGGGCTGAGGTCAAGAAGGTGCAGGAGTTTAAGTATTTGGGGTCAACAGTCCAGTGTGATGGGGAGTGTGGGAAAGAGGTGAAGAGGCGAGTGCAGGCAGGTTGGAGTGGGTGGAGAAATATGGAGATAAAATACTATCAAAAATGTTACAAATGCGTGTTTAACGTTTTGTCTGTAACAAGCCATTTGTCTGTGTGTGATCCACGCATGCGTAGGTAACAATGTGTACGTACTTTCTAAAGAACTGCACACGAAAAATCGATTTTAAGCATTTGTAAAATGTGTTTTATGTGCAGTTTGTACAGCACGCATTTGTGAACAGCATGACACACACACAGACAAATGGCTTTATACATGCAGATTGCGCAGCACGCATTTGTGATCCTCATGACACACACACACAAATTGATTGTTACAGACAAGACAAAACGTTAAACACGCATTTGTAACATTTTTGATAGTATTTTATCTCTATAGAGAAAGGTGTCAGGAGTGTTGTGTGACAGAAGAGTGGCAGCAAAAATCAAAGGAAAGGTGTACAAGACAGTAGTGAGACCAGCTATGCTGTATGGGTTAGAGACTGTAGCAGTGAGGAAGAGAAGAGGCAGAGATGAGGATGTTGAGGTTCTCTTTGGGAGTGACCAGGATGGACAGGATTAGGAATGAGCACATCAGAGGGACAGCTCAGGTCGGCTGTTTTGGGGACAAGGTCAGAGAGGCCAGATTGAGATGGTTTGGACATGTGCAGAGGAGGGATATTAGTTATATTAGTAGAAGGAGGAGATGGAGCTGCCAGGCAAGAGGTCAAGAGAAAGGCCAAAGAGGAGATATATGGATGTGCTAAAAGAGGACATGAAGTTAATTGGGGTGAGAGTAGAGGATGCCGAGGATAGAGTTGGGTGGAAACGGATGATTTGCCGTGGCGACCCCTAATGGGAACAGCCGAAAGAAGAAGAAGAAGATACATCGCTGGAATATATATTAAACTCCCTTTAATAGTAGAAACCTCCCACAGACCCTGGCTCTCGGTGGGCGGCCTTCTGCCTCGACTGGTTGGGGTGAGTGGATAGAGGAAAGAGAAAAGAAAAGCAACAAAACACAACAACAAACAATCGAACATGGGCAGGTTGATGTGGCCAGTGAATGCTTATCAGAGACGTAGAACTCCAGAGCTAGGGCTATCTGCAGAAAGGTACAGGTAGAGAGAGAGGACACACTACGGGACAGAGGAGACACAGTGACGCTTAATGGTGGCATATAGATGCATAGAGAGAGAGAGGGGAGGGGGAGGTGAGAGGAGAGGAATGATACATAATGTGACATTTTGAGTTTGGTGATACTTTGACTTTCAATATTTTGTCCCATCCCTAGTGGAAGTGGAGGTGTCCTTTCTTCCTGCAATCTGTCACTTCCTCTTGCTCGGCAGCCTACAGGTCACATCATAGATGTCTTAAAGGAATATTTCGGGATTTTTCAAGTTGGTGTTAAAACAGTATCGGTGTATTCCTATGTACTTGATAATGGGTCTTCTCCTACTCTCCACGCCGACCCTGAATGTTTCTACATGGAAGGTAACGACGCTGCAAAAAATGTTGTACAAACAACACAACTTGTTTTGTAAAAACATGCACTCCAAAGTTCATCTGAGGCTCAATTGCAGCTTCAACTGTCCCACTAAGCTCATTCGAGTCAGAATATTTCCATTTACAGTCTGTTTAAACCTGATTTCCCTCTTTTATGTCTTTGGACACTACCTTGCTGTGCTGCAGTGGAGGGATACACAACAGAAGCAGTGTGCATATAACAGTCTGGGGACACGGAGTCTCAAAGATGTGGGCATGCAAACAGACTGTGTCGGGTCTTAGCTGTGTATTGTTGTTGTCTTCATGGGGAATGTAGAATCATTATTGTAGTTCAACTCATATTTGGGACTAAAACTCAGAATACTTTTTTTTGCTCATAGGTTAGAATAGTTTTGAACTAAATCTCATATGAACACAGACCTGTGCTTGTATGCTCATAATACTAGTCTATAGACTGTAGAACATGGAAGCGGACCCAGTCCTCCCTCTGTGTCTGTCTTTGAGTTGTCATGCCATAGATTTTCCTTCCATCTGTTCTTCTTCACATCTCATTTTTCATTTCTCCAAGAGAGTCAGAAACTAGATTATTAATAATATATTGTCAAGGAAAGTGGAAGAAAAAGTGGAAGAAAGTGACGGGTTGTGGACTTAGCAGTTCACCGCACTGTAGGCTTATATAGAGATGTTCAAACTGATAAATTACAACACTGGTCACATTTGCTGGCTAAATATTGTACAAACGCAGTATGGTTGTGATTACTGTAGTTCTGTTTAACTGATGCCAGAGTGCTGTGTGTGATCACAAAGATAATTTTACATTGGATTGTAACATGAAGCTGAGTTAAAAGTTTGAATAAGAGTCAAAGTTGTGGTCGCATGAAAACTATTGAGTATTTTAAATGTGCCTGATAGTTTCCAAACAAATTTCTATGTAGCATTAGCAGTCACATTAAAAACATACTTAAACAGACCAGAGGAAAGATGTTGGCCTGGATTTTATACAACATGTCTTCAGTCTGAAAGGTTCTCTTCAAAGACAAAAACACACAAAAGAAGACCAGGAAAAATCAAAGATCGTCTCTCTTTGTGTCTGTGCAGTGAACAGAGTATCTGCCAGGCGCGAGCCGCTGTCATGGTGTATGACGATGCCAATAAGAAGTGGGTCCCAGCCGGTGGATCCACTGGCTTCAGCAGAGTCCACATATACCACCACACCGGCAACAATGCCTTCCGCGTTGTGGGACGCAAGATCCAAGATCATCAGGTCAGTAGATGAAACAAGGACGAATGGATTCCCCTACCACCTGTTTACACACAGAAATCATATTCATAAGTCAGCTGGTCAGATGTATGCAGCAAACAAACATCTGCTGCACCAGTTGGACATTTTTACTTAAAATGAAAGAACCAAGTCAAGGTTTGATGGCTGCTGTTTAAACTGTGAACTGAAATGCCCATTTCCCTCTGTGACCTATTCTCAAAACGTGTTTAATGCCTTTAATTATATATTTTGTCAGTCAGCACATAATTCTCAGTATTTAATGTGTTCTGACTTCCTGGATGGTTTGCTTACATCAGTTATGTTTGTAAACATGGAAAAAAAATGTATACGGAATACTTATTTTTATTTTTCATTTGAGTAGCACACAATGAATCAAAAAAAGCTGGTATTCGCATAATGGTCAAGTTCAATTCCAAGTCCCGAGTCACCAGTGCCCAAGTCCAAATCGAGTCATGGATTCAGAAAATCAGGACTGAAGTCAGACTTGAACAGTACATCACTGAATGATTCAGCGCTAACAAAAAATGACAAACATTAGCTGACTTTATTAACTAATTGCCTTTATATACAGAAAAAATGGTGAGGGAGTGAGCGGCCACAGTGACTGTGTTTGTGTTAGAGGTTGACACTGAGCTTTGGGCCGAATATCTGTCTGTGTGGCACTGCTATCATAAGATGCATATTTCTTGTTTGTTTTCTCCTCTGCCAGCTACATTAAGCATCTAGTGTTACACTGGCTGAGTTTCTCCTCACATTTACTGACCGCTTGTTTTATTACCGTGTCCATCAACAACACAGGAACTGCAGAAAGCTCTCCCTGCCTGCCAGATAGTGGATTATTTGTTGCCAGTTTAAAATAAATTTAGCCAGGTCAAGCCCTATACCTTGTTTTCCATAAACAAACAGATTGGTTACAGGTTGTAGTGCTAGTAGAGCAGTTTATTGGCCAAAGCAATAATGTGCCTTCAGGAGAAAATATTACATTTATAAAAGCTGGTCTCAGTACTATACATGCCTGATGTTCGCTGTGGGCATTCTGAAATGTGAACTAACCACAGCACCCTGTAAGATAAGCTTTGGGCCACATGGTCCCTTTGGGCAACTGTTTTGGATTCATTTTCTTATTAGTGTGGATGTCAGATGACTTGGTGATCATCTCTTCAGTCATAAACCAGCGTGTGTACATTGACCCCACACTTCACTGCACCAGAAATTCCCTAATTATGATACAGTTTAAGATCCTTCAATTACAAACACTTTTTTCATTCTGTGCATGGCGGACACTGAGTGACAGATGAACTGACAGCACAATACCTTTACTCCTTTTTGTCTGGATTTGCACTTTTAAGCCCCAAAACTCAGGTCAGCCTTGCACATACTGTTACATACACTTTCCTTTTCAAAATGCTTTCTAAAATCTGTTTAACTTTCCAGTGCTTCAGATATGCACCACAATTAGACAGTATTTTGTCAGGGTGACTCCATAAGTTGGGTAAAGAATGCATTAGTTACTGGTTAGTAGCCGGTCTAATGGATAATTCTTCTTTCCTCCATCTTCTCCCCGTCATGGCCATCAACAGGTGGTGATAAACTGTGCCATTCCCAAGGGGCTGAAGTACAACCAGGCCACGCAGACCTTCCACCAGTGGCGTGACGCCAGACAGGTCTATGGTCTCAACTTTGGCAGCAAGGAGGATGCCAATGTATTCGCCAGTGCCATGATGCACGCCCTGGAGGTGCTCAACTCCCAGGATACAGGTAAGACTGCCTTACAGAGTATGTGCTTCTCAGCAGCTCCTAAAGGCAATGTGTGTGTGTGTGTGTGTGTGTGTGTGTGTGTGTGTGTGTGAGAGAGAGAGTCTGCATACATCACATGGTAACATTTATGCTAATAATGTACCTGATCCCTTACAACTAAAATAAATTAAAAAAAGACAAGCTGTAGTGCTGTATCACCTGTGCACATGTATTGGAAGCTGTGGAAATGAAATCCTAACTCCCAGTAGTGTTAAACCACCACATTCATCCATAATATGAGTGTGTTTTCCTTTTCTATTTAAAATGTATGAGCGTTGTATAAGATTTTGAAATCTGTGTTGGTGGTGGTGTAACGAAGGAAATTATACCCAGAATACATCTTCAGTGGAACGTTTTTCATTATTTCGTGCATAGAGCGTGGTTATATTTGCTTGTTGTGACTGAATTATCGCTCAAGTCTTGTGCTGATTTTTATTCAGGATTAAGCATGCGTTCACATGTGGCCAAACCTGATTTGGTAAAGCTCACTGAAAATCAGATGTTTAGCAACAAAAAAGTCAGTTGTACCTCCAGTTTTTTTGTTAATACGGTAATACGCTCATGAAAGAAAATGTACACATTTGGTTTTTATTAACTGAACTGTTGCTGCAGACCTCAACATCCGCTGCAGATCCCACTCACTCACACTGCCAGCAGTCTCTGTTCAAATTGAGCCCAGTCCAGTTTAAACAGATACAAGCATCATGTCATTTTGTATTAGGCATATAGACTAGCTCTTGGCAAAATATCTAAAATATCCAACTGTCATAACCCAGGCCTCCAAAATAACATGAGCTTTGTTTATTTCCAGTAACCTTGTGAGAATAAAAGCTCAGCAGAAAATATGAAGTGGCTTTTACACCAAAGGTCTTAGGGATTTACACATATTTAAGAATTGAGCATTAAAATGAAGCTGTTGTTGTTGGGGGGGGGGTCGTCAGTATCTTGCCCAAGGACACTTCGACACGTGGACTGCAGGGACCAAGAATTGAACCTTCAACCTTTTGTTTGGGGGACGACTGCTCTACCCACCCCACCACTGTCGCCTCCGACACCATAGAGATACAGGAGTGTGAAATGCAGGACCTCTAGATTGAAAAACCTTCTTTCCAATTGCCATCAGACTCCTAAACAGCTGACAGGAGTATACAAACAATCAAGACTTACTTCATGTAATTCCACCTGTACTGTTTACATTTGAAGTTTGCAAATTCATATTTGCACATGCGTAATTGCACACTCACTGCTGCCTATTGAACATACAGCTCCGACGTAGCATACATTATTTATTTATTATATTTATATTTGAGAGATTTGGGAACAGCAGTAGAGAGTAAACAACAGGCAGTACCCTACAGTAGGTCCAGCATTTTATTGCTCTTTGTGTGGAAGGGTGGCAGAGAGGGTGGGAGGGGGGAAGCATGGTTTAATGTCCTCGAAATGGGGATTGGGGCCTGCCGGTATTGTGTCCGCCGCCAAGACACCGTGTTTTGCGTGCGCCTGCATGCACGTAGCACCAGAGCCGGCCTGGGGATTTATGAAGAACCGTCACCACAGACCACAGATTCGGGACTCTCTGTGAAGCACGGGGGGCCGCTCTTACCGTACCCCCATTGCAGCTTCGCCAGCGCAGCTAGCTCATCCATTCATCTCAGGGGGGAGCGGACGATGGCGAACATGGCCCATACCTCCGTTTCCTCCCCCAGCACCTCACTCCAGCCCTGCAGTCCCACCTCTCCCGTCGCATCACCTCGCATCCCCGTGGAAAATCCCCGGCAGCTCACCACAAGGAGCTCAGAAGGATTGCTGGCATTGATGGCTGACTGTTGGCAAACAGGGTCCTCCCCAGGCAGACTCAAAACCTCGTAAAAAGTATAAAAACTTAATGCAGACGCACTAAAACTTGTATTTCTGGTAGCCCAACTCCCCAAAAGTTTACGGGAAAGCGACATAGCACTAAAAGCAACACAGAAAACCTAGAAAACTTGAAAAAAAAAAAACACAAATCGAGCAAGAGCTGCTTGGGGCAGCTGCCACTCCGTGTGGAGGCGGAGGTGTCGTTACCAGGAGAGCAGTCCAACAAAAAGGATGAGGCAGTGTCTCGGGTTGATAGAACAGGCAGGGCATCGGTATCAGAATAATCAGGCACTGAGGGGAAAAAGAGCTGGAGGGTCTAGATGATGCATAGAGCAATTTGGCAGGTCCCCACAGAGTGAGGAGCTGCTATATGCTGTGGTGAGCAGGTGTGAATGATTGAGTGGTAGGTCATACCACCGTGGTTGATGATATGAAGTTCCCTGGAGTCAGGGTGAGCTGGGGATAGGAAGTAGTTACAGAATAAGAGCATGTGGCAGGAAGTGGATGGGACAGAATCATGACAACTGGGTTGGTCTAACCTGTGGTACTGGGTTGAATGTGTGCGAGTGCCAGGAGGTCACTGCTTATAAAAGTGTTTTATGCTGAAGCAGGAGGAGTGTGACCAGCAATATATGACTGCCATATATATTTATATATAGGTGCTGCACTCCTGCAACTAAATATTTATTTCTTCCTCTGTATTGTGAGCACACCTACTAACATCTTGACATAATGCATTCCCAGCTCCTTATCCTGAACCTGAAATCTTAAAACTCAAACCAAATATAGGATTTTAACCCTGCACTGTATATGAATAAATCTACTTGTTTACTTTCCACCGAATAGAGTTTAATAGAGATAACACTTAAACATGCAGCTCTTCAAGGGCTCCTCCCAGAGAACCGCAATTGCAAATCTGGACTATTTGTCTGGGCACCCAGGCTCAAACTTGGCAGCAGCTTATTTCTACAGAGACATGAAATGTTGCTAACTAGGGATCGTCGTTTATTTTCAGTACGCCATGTGGTTGTTGATTTTGTGAAACCTTTGTGAGGAGGAGATTGTGAAACCTGAGAGAGCTGGAGGTGCAGTGAGGTAGAGAGAGAGATGCATAGAGGGTCTCTTCATCCCCGACCCATGGAAACAATCTAAATTCTCTGGCCTGTTTGTTTTTGTAGGTCATGAGGGTAAGGATATGGTATAAACATTCAGGGGTACAACACCTGCTCCAGCCATGCACCATATCAGTGTGGCATGTGTTTATGCTTTTGGATTATGACGGCACATGGCTACACACACACATGCACACCCTCCATCTATCTGCCTGTCCCACTTTACTTTTTCTTGATGAGCTCATGGTGTCTGGCAGCAAAACGCAGGTTGGCATAGTGGCAGCCTACACACTGCAACATAGCTGGACACCAGCACAGACACTTAGACACTGAGAGAGAAGGAAATGCTAGTGAGAGAAAAAATCTAAGAAAGAAGATAGGAAATGACAGAAATGTTGAAAGAAAAATATATGAGAGAAGGAAAGTTGTTTACTACAGTGCAGAACAAGTAAAAATAGTTGTAGAAAAGGAGGATTTAAAAAAAAAGAAAGGACAAAGAGGTCAGAGGTCCACCAGCTTTCTAGTATATTTTCTGACTGCTCAGGTCCCATCACGGAGGTATCTATAGACATGCCTGCTGCAGCAAGAGTTCACAGATTTGTCCAGGAACAACAGAAGATCAGCCGTGCTCGAATCACCCTCAGGAGTGAGTAGTCAACCTGATATGACTATTGGAGGGGGGCAGGTGCATGCCTGCTGGTTGGTTGCTTCCTAAAGACAAGGCTTGTCTACATCTGTTTGATCTTTGATTATTAAGGACAAGACTTGAAAATACAAAGGTATAACTGAGATTTCATTTTGTTTGGGTGAAATGTAGTGCTGAAATAATCAGCTGACAGAAAACTGGAAGCAATTTAGAATCTTTTAACAAGCAAAGACATCAAATATTCTTTGGTTCCTGCTACTTAAATCTAACTATCTACTGCTATTCTGTTTTTCCTGTTATTATAAATTAAATGTCTTCTGGATTTTGAACAAATTTTCAGAGAAAATAACTAATCTGAAGACATTTTCTTGGGCTTTGAAAAACTCTAATGGGCATTTTGCCTATTTTTGACGAGATAGACTAGCTTGATGTCTCAATCAGTATTGGTAGGGGATTACTGTGGGGTTTATTAACCAATAAAAGAAAAGAATGCAACCCTAACACAATTACAATTAACAGTGTAAAAAGAGCAGTGTCAGCCATGCACTGACTTTGTTGATGTCATTATACTGTAAGCATAAACAGAATGTGCACGTATGAACCTATACACCAACATGTTGCCTACAGTATAGTTACTTTTGTGGTACTTGTACCTTTAACCAATCAACTTCACACAGTGAGGTATACAAATGAATCACTTTATCTGTTCTTGGTTCAGCTGAAGCAAATACCACACATGGCTGTATTCTACCACCACTTCATTGTACAAGTAATGATCTGAGTGAAATATCCATAAGTGTGAGTGTGTTTGTGTGTGTGCGGGTCAGCAGCATGTCAGCCAGAAGCAAGGCCTGTATGGAGATGTCCCCTGATTGGCTACAGAGCCTTTTTGTACTTTCACTGGTTTAAGCTGTGCTCCAGTTGTTATGTAGCAACAGTGCAGGATGGCGGACAGAGGCCTGACCACAGTTGCCATGGTCTCCTGATCTTTGAAAGAGAAAAACATGTTGTTAGCCACAGCACATGTAGCCCATGTTTTATTAGTGTGTCCTGTGCTAAGTGCATGCTACAGTCATGAATAAACAAATTCAAACAAAAGTATAAGCCGATAATTCAGTGCCATGAAGGTTTTTAGAATAAACATGGCCAAAAACAACAGAAAACAAGCTCAGTTGTCACTTGTGAAGAAATCACATGGGAATCCAAAACATTCAAAACACCTTAAGTGTATTTGTATAGCATAGCATCACATGACTCAGCACTAGCATGGTTCCTTGTCTCAGAATAGCTGCTTGCATCTCCTGTGTGTGTGTGTGTGTGTGTGTGTGAGAGAGAGAGAGAGAGAG